AGGTGGTTTCTGTCGAAATCGTCTTTTTTGGATTGTTGGTACCTGGTCCAAAGGTCACACTTTGTAATGAATACCTTTATGGTAGCCTGTAGTTCCTTGCTTCTGTTAAAATGGAACTGCTAACATGTTTTTAAGAACTCTCGGCTTTTAGGCTTTGGTCTATAGTTTGTTTTTAAGTTATGATGTTGGAAAGTTTTTAAAAATACAGATACTCGGCCTGCCACGTGTCTATATTTGTGTGTGTGTATCTTAAGTACTGTAACAGTGATATCTTCTGCAACTTTAAAGGGAAAGCATATTAATGACGAAATAATTCTTTACCATTGCTCTTAGCAAGTCATGATTAATGCATAATATTTGCATATAACACGTGTTTTGTGCTTACAAATGTTTTGATATATGCATATAGCTTTTTGCACTCTGGCCGCAGTTTCCACGATATCATCTTGAAATGCAAAAGGAAAGTGTTGGAAGTTTCACACAGCAGAGACACTTGCTGCCTTCTGTGTGGGAATACTGCCTATGTTCCAATAAGTTACTGCTCTCATTTTCACTCTCATTTAAAGAGAAATAAGCTCTTATACTAGGGCACATAATTTTTTACCAACAAAATATAATATTTCTAGTTTGTATGTAAGAAAGCACTAAGAAATGGGATGCTTTCCCCTTCCATTTTCTTATTCCTTCATGAGAGTGTGTCCTGACCTCACTTGGTGCTCTGTTTAACATTGCACCTCTGGAGAGTGTAAGGGGGTGGGCATAGACTGGCAAGGGGTAGGTAAAGAGGAAAAATGGGAACTTGTGTGATAAAAATTGCCAGTGTTTGTTATTGCCCTTGGCTGTAGGGTTAACTTTTGAATCTGATCTTCCTAAGAAGAGACTTTAAATTTCAGACTTAATATTAAACACACTAAACTGTTCTGGCATTTAAATCATTCATTTTCAGAAGTAATTTGTATGCTTTGTGATGAAGATTTTTCTTAAAATTAAAAAAATAGTTCTTAACGCTTGAGGAAAAAATAAAATTGGGGCTAAGAAAGTGAATTCTAATTTTAAGAGGGTGATTAGTGAAAATATGTTTTCGTGAATTTCAAAGGGAGGTGACCAAATGGATTCTTGTCCAGATGCATAGCAATTTCAAACTGTCTTGCCTTTTCTCAGAGGAAATCATACGATTGGACACATGGTCTAAAGTTAGTGTATGTACGCAGCGTATTTCAAAGTCAAGATGTTGGAGCAAACACGGATTAAATTTTCAATAAACTTTAATACTTCTGTGCCTTAAATTCTAAATCATTAAGTACTTGTGGGTTTCTCCTCCCTAATCACGTCCTCCTTTCCCCTGCAGGCATGGAGAGTAGGAAACTGATTTCTGCTACAGACATCCAATACTCTGGCAGTCTGCTGAGCTCCTTGAATGAACAGCGTGACCATGGACTCTTCTGTGACGTTACTGTTATTGTGGAAGACCGTAAGTTCCGGGCCCACAGGAACATTCTTTCAGCTTCAAGTACCTACTTCCACCAGCTCTTCTCAGTTGCTGGGCAAGTTGTTGAACTGAGCTTTATAAGAGCAGAGATCTTTGCAGAAATTCTGAATTACATCTATAGTTCTAAAATTGTCCGTGTTAGAGCAGATTTACTTGACGAGCTGATTAAATCAGGGCAGTTACTAGGAGTGAAGTTTATAGCGGAGCTTGGTGTCCCACTGTCACAAGTTAAAAACATATCAGCACAGGATGGTACTGATGAGGCCTTACCTCCTGATTCTAGTGACAAAAACCTTGATATACAGAAGTCCAAGGATGAAGCCCCAGATAATGGGGCTACTGTGATGCCCATTATAACGGAGTCTTTCTCATTATCTGCCGAAGATTACGAAATGAAAAAGATCATTGTCACTGATTCAGATGATGATGATGACGATGTCATTTTCTGCTCTGAGATTTTGCCTGAAAAGGAGAATTTGCCAAGTAACAACACGATGGCACAGGTCCAGCCTAACCCAGCCCCCGTTGCTATTTCAGAAGTGACACCTTGTGCTAGCAATACCTCCCCCCCTTTAACAAACATCACACCTACTCCGAAGCTTCCCACACCTGTAAATCAGGCAGCTCTTAACCAAACCCAAGGAAATGAAGAATTGCTGGTGTCTTCGGCTTCAACACATCTGACTCCTAACATTATTTTATTAAATCAGGCTCCACTTACTACACCACCAAGTGTCAGTTCTGCACTTCCAAATCATATGTCCTCTTCAATCAATTTACTTGTACAGAATCAGCCGACACCAATCAATTTACTTGTACAGAATCAGCCGACACCAAACAATGCTGTTTTAACAGGAAACAAGACCAATGGTGTGGAAGCGGAAGAAATTATAGATGATGATGATGTTACCATTAGCTCCAGTCCAGACTCAGCAGTCAGTAATACATCTTTGGTCCCACAGGCTGATACCTCCAAAAGTACCACTTTTGATGGATCATTGACACAGAAGGTACAGACTCCTGTAGTTCTTCAAGAGCCACCTTCCAATTCTTTAAAAGTTTCAGATGTAATTACTAGAAACACTAATGATCCAGGCTTAGGATCAAAGCATCTAACGGAGGGTCAAAAGATCATTACTTTAGATACAGCTACTGAAATTGAAGGCTTATCAACCGGTTGCAAGGTTTATGCAAATATCGGTGAAGATACTTACGACGTAGTGATCCCTGTCAAAGATGACCCTGATGGAGGGGAAGCCAAACTTGAGAATGAGCTACCAAAAACATCTGGCAGCGAGCCATCAAACAAGCGTATGAAAGTAAAACATGATGATCACTATGAGTTAATAGTAGATGGAAGGGTCTATTATATCTGCATTGTATGCAAAAGGTCATATGTCTGCCTGACAAGCTTGCGAAGACATTTTAACATTCATTCTTGGGAGAAGAAGTATCAATGCCGTTACTGTGAGAAGGTATTTCCTCTTGCAGAATATCGCACAAAGCATGAAATTCATCACACAGGGGAGCGAAGGTATCAGTGTTTAGCATGTGGCAAATCTTTCATCAACTATCAGTTTATGTCATCACACATAAAGTCAGTTCATAGTCAAGATCCTTCTGGGGACTCAAAGCTTTATCGCTTACATCCATGCAAATCTTTACAGATCAGACAGTATGCATACCTTTCTGATAAATCAAGTGCTGTGCCTGTCATGAAGGAGGATGCTATTGGGTATAAGGTTGATGCTGGAAAAGAACCTCCAGTAGGGACCACATCTACTCCTCAAAACAAGCCAATGAACTGGGAAGATTTTTTTATTCAGCAGGAAAATGATTCCATTTTTAAACAGAATGTAACAGATGGCAGTACTGAGTTTGAATTTATAATACCAGAATCTTACTGAACTCCTTTGAAATATCTGAAAGTTTGCATTGGATTAAGGGGCAGGGATTTCAGAAGGCCTTTGAAACAAATTAAGGTGAAAACATGTTAATTTAATCTGCCATGTCATCTGCGAGTAGCCAAGTTGCATCGTTAATTTTTAGAAGCAGGTTTTTCTAAAAGTTTGAGTAGATTGAACACCCTCTGAAGTATCTGTATACTTTAGCTTTCAGCTCATCTAAAAGATGGGACTTTTTAAAGGGACAGAAAGATAATTTTCTGAATCGGATTTGAAGCAGTGTAAATGTTCTTTGACAATTACTGGAATTACTAATATCCCCTAGTGGAGGTTATACTGTACTGGGGTAACTTCCATGCTAGCACGTTACAGCTGAACTTTCAATTTTCTTAATGTTAAGCCTAAGTGTGCTGTGTCTTGTATACAGCATAAAAGGCAATGAAATTCCAAAAGTTGTTCAAGTAAATATCAGAGTAAGTCCTAAGTGGTTTGTTCTGTCAGTCCAAATGGAGATCAGCTTCCTGCCTCTTTCCTACTATAAAATAACCATGCAAACAGGTCTCTCCTATGAAGAATAAGTTAGTTCTAGCTAATTGGGATTAACCATTGCTTTCCTTGCCATAGTCTGTAAGAGACTTTGATGACAAGGCCACTGTATGCTTTTAAAATGGCCCTGAGCGAAAAAAAAAAAAAAAATGAGCTAGCAGGCATGCATGTAGTGCAAAGGGGAGGTTATACAAAGTTCTTTTGTGCTTATCTTTAATCTTCTGCTTTTATATGGAGATTTTTGTTAATTATGGTTAAAAAATGGTCCCACGAAATGTTGTGAATTTACTATCTGAAAGCCACTGAATGCATCTTTATATATAATGCTGGTAAATGTTGAGATTCCATAGATGAGACTCATGTATTTTGGGTGGAAGGCAACTGGCATAGATTTTTAAAAGCTCACGTTAAACTCCCCAGTAGGAAGTTTTCATTTTAAGTAGTTTTAATGGCAATCTAGCATTGCCCTTTCAACAAGGTCTTTTGGGGATTTTTTTAACCCCTTAAAATAAGTTCCAGTCTTTGTGCAAACTGCTGTTATAGCAGAAACTGCATGTGGAATACTGCAGGCATGTTGGTTCCTGTTTATTTTGACGACAGTACCCCCCTTCTTCCTTTAAAGATGGCACATATTTAAACACTTAGAATTTAAAACTTAAGAGTAGTAATAAAAGGAAGCAGGTTGGAACAGATATATAGCTTAGCATTTATAAAAGATTTAACACATTTCTGTAAAAATTTAACCTAATTTTTTTCAATGGAAAAATAATACTGAAAATGGTTGTGTTGCATAGTTACTAGTCATTTGTGACCTTGCTTATATATTTCTTAGTTCAGCATAGGTATTTTCATTCTCCGTACAGTGTATTTTTTATCTCTTCCTTGACTTTGAACTTAAAGCTTTAATCATAATTTTTCATGCATAGGTCATTTTTCTGGTGGTAAACTAGGTGTAAAGAGAAAAGTTTAAGTGTTTCTTAACTGGTAGTTGAGGGTATCAAGAATCAGTATTTTCAATAATACAAAGAAAAAAGGATAGCCCCTGCTTACCAAGTAGTAGAGTGGTGTACATTTATGTTTTCTGTTTGATAAGCTTAGACCTTCAAACCATTTTCATAAACTAACTCTTAGAAAACTGAAAATCACCCTATAACTCTAGACTCTGATCTCTGTGATCACAGTATCTATTTCCTTTCTCTGTAGATATTGATGTTACTGCCTTTTGAGTAGAAGGTATGTTCAGAAATGTTCCCAGTTGAAATTTCAGTTTCATGAATGCAATTTCAGCAATTAGACACAATTACTTCTACCTGTGTGAGCAATAGTGACATTGCAGTCTCAGCTGCTAGGTAAATTAGTTTGCTGTGGTAAAACCTGTTAGTTTTTACAAGCCTATTATGGGTTTTTTTGGTTGTTGTTGTTGTTTTAATGTTTTGTTTTTCTTGAGACAGGGTTTCTCTGTGTAACAGCTCTGGCTGTCCAGTAACTCCCTCTGTAGACCAGACTGGCCTCGAATTCACAGAGAGCCACTGTCTCTCCCTCCTGAGTGCTGAGATTAAAGGCACGTACCACCACTGCCTAGCTCCCTACAAGCCTATTATAACAAACCAGGGATAATAAAAACCTCTCCATTCTGAATAACATTGGTAAAATTATTTGCCACTGCTGCTGTACTCTGTAAATTCTGAATAAGAACTTCTTAACTCTGTGCCTACTGAACATAACTTCTGGAGTTTGCAGGGAGGAGGAGAATTATAAAGTTCAATTGTAATTTTGCCAGGAAGACTCTTAGACATGTTTTGGGGTCTTTGGGATTTTTTTTAATGTTTTTATAACCAAAATTCAGAGTTTTGTGGAGTCCACCTGCCTCTGCCTACCCAGTACTGGGATTAAAGGCATGTGCCACCACTGCCTGGCTCAAAGTTCAGAGTTTTTATAGAATATTTCTTTGGACAAAAACTCTTTACTCCTAGTCATTTTAGGATTTGAAATTTGTAGCAAGGTGCTGTTTAAAACCTACTGTGAAGATTTTCTGGGTTTTTTTACTTAGCTTTCTGACTACTGAATTTTCTATCTTTTTTTCAAGTGGGCTTCAATTTTGTTCAAATGCTGAATTATCTGTAGGTATTCTGGGTAGATTCTATTTGAAATAGCAAATTTGTTCAAAGAATACCGACTTTCAGCAGTCTTAAAAGATCATGATATTTTGTTATCATTTCGATGGTCACTATCTTCCACAGAGTCACTGAAGAACTTGTTCCATTGCACTAAAAAAAAAATAAATAAATGACCACTCATCTGGGCATTTAAACATCATCATGGTATGTGTATTTTGAGGAATTAGATGCAAATTCAGCAGCACTGGCTTCCTTACCTCTGTTCATTTTCCCCAATACTGCAATGCTCATATTTGTACAATCTTCCTTTTCATGACTTAAGTTCTGCTTTCCATTAGCCATACTTGACATTAGTTCATAGAGTTTGTTATGGTGAAATAAAGCATATTCATTCTCATTTTTGAGTGCATTCTTTACAAGATTATTGTGAATGAATTACATAGGCTTTCTGTCCTATTTTTCTGGGTTTTTTTCTTTCAATAGCAGGAGAAAAGCTGTGTTTCTGATGACAGCATGGTAGAAATTAACATTAGGTTTTGTGTATTGGTTAGACATGTCCCATTGTTTCTCAAACCGTCATAGTCAAAAGTGAGTTGTCATTGCCAGTTGTTTTAGAGTAGCCACTGGAATTTCGTACACACCATGAATGCCTGTAAAGTGCATAGGGAGAAGGATAATTTTATTAATTTTGAAACATCACAAAAGCTGTCTGGGTTTCCAACATGGCAGTGATACAGATTTTAAGCAATATCTAGTTTATACAGGTTCTGAATTAATATTTTAATATTTCATGCCCAGTTCAATACTTTAAAGCAGAATTAGGAAGAAAGCAGTAAATGTTATAAAATGCAGTCAAGATACATTGGAAATACAAATTCCTTCATTACAGCAAATGTTTTGCAGAATAGTGAAGCAGCAAATATTAATTTTCCTAAAGTAACATGCACTTTATATAATTCAATGTAATAAAAAAAAGCTGCTCAAATTAAGTGTTAGAAAATCTATACTGTTTAAAGTTATTTTGTAAAGTAAGAAAAATACATAGAAATGAGTCATAGAATCTTAATACTTTAAGAAATGTGACCATTGAAGATATACTTTGTAATGGTGCCTTTAAAAATCTACACATTCACTAAAGCAAGGGATAAAGTGTAAATGACAAAATACTGTTAGGTATTACAAGGTGATGTTTGTACAAGAAGTCAATTAATTATTAGTCCTTTTTTGAAATCCAGTAGAATTTTATTATGTTCGGAACTGTAAAAATAACCGTAATTTTGTATAACGTAAAAGGACTGTGGCCTTTTGGATTTGAAGTCTGGATAGGACAGTATGGTGCTGAAAGGTAAACTCACTAGTTCCTGTGAACAGTGAGTGCACTTGTTGTGCCTTGATTCTTGGTGACTAGGTGTCTACAAGGTAGATGGGAGCACCAGCATTTATCGGCTACCTCCAACCGGCAAAGATGGGAGGCAGCGAAATGGGCTGGAAATGTTTCCAGTGTGTGTTCTGTGTTTGCAGAACTGTCTCATTAGGAGTCCTCTGCTTCTCCTGTACGTTTACATAATACAAGTGTAGGATTATCAGTCTCCCTTTAAACCAGTTCTCAGGTTAAAATAAAACCCTAGTGAACGTGTTCATGCTGGAGTGAAGGTGCCGAAGTGTTTCCAACTCAACAGCTTGATGGTTGAAAGCTCTGTATAATTAAAACAACTGTATAACTGCCACAGTGTGCCAGATGGATTTTAAACGCAGAACACTTAAGAATTTGTCAAGTTGGCTGCATTTAAGGTCTTGAAGACTTGAAATGGCATTGTAACACTTTCATAATCTTGAATTGAATGCTGTCACAATTGATCTCAACAGGGGAAAAAGGACCAATAAGAGCGGTGGCGTTAAAATACAGATGAGTTTTCAAGGGTGGGGTGCAGGATCGTGCGGTTTGCTGGGGTTAAAGCACAATATCCAAAGATTAAATAGTCACAAAGATAGGTAACAATTCATATCACGACCCAGTCTAATCTAGCATTTTTAAACTCTGAATTTCAACTGTAAGATTTGTATCTCCAGTAGCAAATGTGTTTTAGAATAATGCAACATATAATAGAAACACTGTCTCCTAAGCTGTCAGTTGTATATACTGAGATCTACTGAAAACAGCACACTTCTGAATCAGTGAGTCCTCATCACCACTCACAGTGAGGGACTATTGCACTTTTTCCCTTAGGAGGTACCAGTAACAAAAGCTGAGCTGAATGATCACAACAGCCATTTTTTTTTACAAGACTCAGAGAAGAACAGAGTAAGCTATGGGCAGCTTTTTGTTAATATCCAATATCCAGACAGAAGCAAACAAAAATCCTAGCCAGAACTTTCTGTGTCAGAACTACTTCCCTTCTTGGAAGTATTGGGTTTGGCCTAGCCAATCCTACCCTTCCCTTGTAATGAATAAGCTCCATCCCTATCTTTCCCTAGCCTGGCAAGCTGCTGTAAAACTATGCAGAAGAGTCACACTTTAGGTGTTGTACCCTACACACTTCCACTAAAGCAGAAATACAAAAGCCACAATAATCTCAATGGCCGACAGGTGCTCCTTAAGGACTGTAAGGTGGTGGCTTTTCAAAAGGTGGGTAGTAGGGTGGAGAATAACGGGGTGGTGCGCTGGAGGACCACATGTAGCTGGGCGAAGGAGAGGCAGACTGGGGCTCCTGCTCATCAGAGGGAGGGGAGGGAAAGACACTGGAATGCTGTGTAATGAGAAAAAAAAACAGGCAGTGAGCTTGCAATCCCTTCAACAGACATTACTATTTAAAATGAATATAGGCCAAATCTGTTTCTGTTTAGAAAAATAGCTCAAATCTTAGGGTGTCAGTAGGGGACAGGATAGGTCTGCATCAAATCACTCAGGTTGCAAACTTCATGCAGAAAGTTTTGGGGATCCTCCTCTTCCCCCTTGACTTTTACATCTAGACAGTCATTCAATCCTGATGCTTCAGCTGTGTGGCCTCTTGAAGACATCACTCCATTTTCTGCATCTGTCACTCAAACCATCGATTCCTAACTTATGCTCAAAGCATTACAACCATTGTTTCAAAAAGTCTTGGCCTTAAGGATGTTTAATGAGGTTAAGTAATTGACCCCTAAGAAAAAACTTTTCTGTAGGAATACACACACACACACCATTGGGAAGTTCAGGGCTCGGGAGCCCATATCATAGACTAAAACGGAGGTTACGCAAATCAGTTGGCTTGCTTGGCTCTCAAGCCATGAAGTCCTGTTCCATATGAACTACCATCCCTTTCATTACCCACAAACTCACCATAGATCAGAAAACAGTGATTAACAAGGGCATGGGGGTGAGAAACCAACGCTAAGAATGGGGAGCAGTGTGTCAGTTGGCAGAGTTACTGCGGGTTCAATTTCCTTTCTTGTTATCTAACCTTGGGAAGGGAACAGATGTGGATTTTTAAAATTAACCTAGGGAGATATGAAAAGGATAATATTAAGCAAGGTGTCCCAAACTCAGACAAAATCTTCCATTCTCTCAGATGTGATTACTGCCCTGTAAAGAATATGGGGGTGAGAGGTAAAGTGTAGATAAATCCTGAAACATAGGAGCCCAGGAGAGGATTAAAGATAGGTGACAACGAAAGAGGAATGTGAAGACAGAAAGACACATAGAGCATGAAAAAGGAGAGATGGGCAAGATGGGTCATCAGAGATAGCAGGGTTGAGGACCTGAGAGGGGAGAACTGCTAAAACATTGTGTTTGAAAATGCCATAGTATCTAATGCCTTTTAATGCTGACTTACTATTTCTTCAATTTCCAAGTAAAAAATGTAAGGCAAGTTAGAGAAGGGCATTTTGCCTGTCTCTCCTCCTATGTCTTTCTGTGTAATTTGCTGTTAAGGGAAATGACTTCTGAAGGGAGGAGGGCATGGCACAGCTAGCTGTTAACAGGTCCAGTGTGGCGTCCTGTTTCCACGGGCTCAGTCTGAAGTCTTGCCTGTCACTGAGCGAGAGATCTTGGCACAGTTAATGGACATGTTTGTGCCCATTGTTTTCTCTTCAGTTGAGATTTGATATGAGATGAATGAGTATTAGCTAAGCAAGGAAACAGTCCTCATCACATAGTCAAAACTCGGTATTTAAAAATATATTAAAACAACCAGTGAATTGCCGTAAGAACGATCACTTGCCTCTGTTCCCAGGCCAATGGCCACCCATAACCCTAATAGTTCTCCTGCTCAGGGGCAGTTTTTTCTTCACTATTCTATTCCCTTCACTTCACTTCACTATTCAGAGCTCAGAACAGGGCTTAAAAAATAGTAAGTGCTCAATAAATCTTGGATGACTGATTGTTCCTTCAAGAGAATATATTAGGTGACCTTGGCCATGCCTTCTAAAACTAAAATCCACTGTAGAGTCATACTAGAGGGAGGCTAAGATGAGATCTCACATATGGAGGGAACTACAAGAACAATAAGAGTTAGGAAACAAATTCGGGGTCTCAGAAAGAGCAAAGCTAGTCAGAACCCGGGATAGGACTAGGGATTCTGGTGTATCTGACTCCAAGAGGATCTGGTAATGTTTTTAGATCCACTTACACTAAATTTTCTCAAGAACTCAAGTGCTGTTTCACATGGAAGTGGGGGGTCACATCTTTACTTGGTCTAGCCAGAGTTTGAGTTGATTGTATCATTTTTCCATGTTTGTAGCAATCTCAGGCCGGCCCTGACATGTGGCTTCTAGTGTGTGAAACCAGCTAGTTGATGGAGTCTAATCCCCACGCCAGACCCCTATACTCCTGGGAAGGCAATGTCTAGATTTCTAGGCACTGTATGAGACACTGAAATACCTTCATTGCATCATGGTAGGGGTGAGGAGGGAGGCACAATCCTCTTCCTTCTCCACCCTTTCCATTTTTGAGCTTAAGAATGACTGGATTACAGAACTGGGAGAACCTACAACTTGAGAGAGTGGACCAGAGAAAAACAAGATGTCCTCCTAACTCTAAACTGCCTCCTCTCTCCAAGACGATAGCCTTTACTAATAACAGCCCGGTTGTGTGTTGTTTAATAACAGGGTTAAGTTCTGGGAAAAATGCATTGCTCGATCATTGAGCAACTTGTTCACTTAAGTAAGGTAACTATGGTGTCACTTCTGTCACTATCTGCCCTCACTGTGGTGAACTGTTTGTTCCCTCTAATGGGAGATAAAATAACCCCTTCCTAGGCTAGGCGTAGTGACACAGGTCCTTAATCTCAGGAAGTAGAGGCATAGGCAGGTGGATCTCTGTGAGTCAAAGGTCAGCTTGGGCTATATAAAGACTCTCACACCGGTCAAGACTCCATAGTGAGATCACATCTCAAAAAAAGAAGACACAACCAAATAAATAAACAAGTAAATAAATAACCCCTTTCTTCTATGTTGTCACACTGACAAGAAAAATAAGTAATAGATCCTCCTTTTCTTTCCCTTCTCTCTTGTTGCTTTCTTCTACTAAGAATGTTTCTCTTAACCAGAGAGGAAAAGAAAACCCACAGGGCCGAGGATCTCTGTGCCTGGGCATGTATGCGGCACTCTGCCCTTCTAAATCCCACTCTGGGGATGGCAAGAGGCAGCAGGGTGGTTTTAGGTGTTCGCAGTCACAGAAGGGAAGGACAAGTCCCTGCAGTAGAGCTCAAGTCAGCTGTGTCCTGAGAGCCATTCAAAGGCTCCTGTGGGTAGCAGCTGCTGCGGGTAGCACTTGGGCACGTTGATAATAGAGCAGGTAGAACAGCCGCGTCTGGATTTTCATTTCTCAGTTTCGTCTTTGGTGAATATTAGGGGGTGGGTAGCAGAGAAGAGGTGATTCTCATTTCCCTCTGAGGTCAGAATTGGAAATCCAAAGGATCAATTTGAAGGTTCCTGGCAGAGCTCATACCCTTGGGGGTTGGAAAGGGAAAAGGCCCACAGTACCAGTGCATAGTTTCCTAGCAACAGGCAAGCACCTTGAGAAACACTTGGCTTTGTTGCAGCTAGAGAGCTGGCTGGATGTGGTTTGGTTCCTGCTTGAGAGCTGAACTTCACTAATGCTCTGAATCCCTGCACACCACAAAGCACAAGGAACATCTAAGTAGCCAGCCCACTGCTGGCCTCGTCAGCGCTGGCTTCCTGAGCTGCCCCCCGAGGCCCGGGTGGCCATTTAATGTACTTAAGAAGGTAGATAACGTGCTCTAATGGTGCTAAGGAGGGCACCGCCCTTCATGAACACAGATGTTTCTCTATTCCCCACCCCCTCACCTGCCCCATGCTGTCCACATTCGCTAATATCTATGCGCATTCTGCGAATGTGTGCACATCTCTCTTGGGGGGGGGGCATGAACCTTTTACTCCAAAAGGTGCCCTGGCATTACCTACCGACTGACTAGTTATAGAACTTGTGTCCCAAAGCGGGGAAATAAAAGCATTTGTTGATTTTTTTTTTGTTGTTGATTTTTTTTTTAAAAGCATTCCCCACCCCCTCCCCCGCATTCTGCCCTGGAAAGAAAAGGCTAAGCAAATGGAAGAGGAGCAGACAAATAGGACAGAGGAACATGAGGAAGAAAGAGCGAAAAAGGAGAAATAGGGGAAAGTTGAGAAGGGAGGGGGGAAATACAGACAAAGCAGAAATGGCTTCCTGAGCTTCAAGGGAACCTGTACCTTTAACTCCTCTCACCCCCACAGGATTGAAGCAATCAATTAAATGGGCTCAATGCCTACTCAATGTCACTTTAATGGCTGCAGTGAAGCATCATGTACTCTCAGGTGCCGAATAAAGAACATAGGCACCACTGTTTGCATTTCTCATAGGCTGAGACTTTTGAGCCTAAACTCAGCAGTTCACCAAATGGACAGAAAAGGGACAAGCCTGTGAGTAAAGTCGAGGAGCTAACCCAGCAGTCCAGATTGGGAAATGTGGCTGGAAACCTTCAAGGTTTTAGGTAAAACAACACTGGGTTCAATTTCGGAGCAGAAGCAGGAACTGATAATGCCCTATAGAGTTTGGGCTTAGCTGAAACTGAAGAGGTCAAAGGGCAAGAGAAGTAGTGCTGCGGAGATGCGAAAGGAGGCTAAAGCCTTCTCAGTACATAGGCTTCCTGTTTTGAAGTACAGGAAGTTCACTAGAAGTAAGGACACATTGGAATGCAAGACTGAAGTAGTCCGTTGCCCCACACCCAGGTCTCACGACTTCCTCAGGGCCAACTGACCCAAGACAAACCCTTGTCCATTTCTCACCACAAGGAACGTTTCCAAGACTTCCTAACTGGATCATTACCCAATGAAGACAGAATTTTGAGGGACTAAAACAACCCCTGTGAGGGGCTGGGGAGATGGCTTATCCAGCAAAGGCACTTGCCGTCAAGCTTGACGACCTGAATTTGACTTGGGACCCACATGGTGGAAGGGGAAAGCCAACTCACACAAGTTGCCATCATTGCTTCACAAGTACATGAATGTGAATTCATGCGCGCACGCACACACACACACACTCACAATTAATTAACTAATTAAAACCATGAACCTTTCTCCTCATTATTCTATTAACCTTACTAAAAAGAGAATAGAAATGATCAAATCAGAGTCACAGAGATAGCCCTATTTAGAAATGAACTAAATGAGGCTGGAGAGATGACGCAAAGGTTATGAGCACTGGCTGCCCTTCCAGAGGACCCGAGTTCAACTCCCAGCACCCACATGGCAGCTCACAACTTTCTATAGCTCCAGTTCCAGAGGACCTGACACCCTCACACAGGCATGCAGGCAGGCAAAAAAAAAAAAACACCAATGCACTAAAAATAAATAAATTAGAAAGAAAAAGGAATGAACAAAATGGAGAAGTCTTTCAGACAAAAAGTCTTAAAACATCTGACTATAATTGAGGTCATTTTTCAACCTGAGAAGAGCAAGAGGAAGCTGTGGCCTCTTTTTGGACAGGCTCACTCTTCTATAGGTTTGACTCACAGAATTGGGGTGCATTTCTGACTATTTTTTATTCATCCAGGATCACATGCAGACATTCCCCAGCCTTTTGCACGTTTTAGGTCAAGACTGGTATTTCTTTCTTTGAAATTATAAGAGAGTGCACTGTTGGGAATGAACAAGTGTTCAATGTATATACCAAGTTCTAGAGACAAAGAAGTCAAACATATCCCAAGAGCTACACCATAAGACTCTAAAGTCTTTTGATTCATGAAGTAGGATTTGAACAGAAAATGATAGTTGAATACATGCTTGAGTATCTTAAAAAGGAATTTTCTTTTAAGAGTCGGTGGTAACTGTTACATGGGATATTACTATTCCTAGTTATAAGGTTCATCACAAGATCTAACTTCCTCAAATCAATACAATTTACTTTGATATGAAAATAAAATGGCTCATCATGGAGGCTCACATCTATATTCCCTGCATTTAAGAGGTTGAATAATAACTTACGATTCTTGTTATATACGGTTTAGAAGTGTCCCCTAAATGTCCAGGTGTTGAAGGTTTGGTCCCCAGCACTCTGAGGAGGTGATGCAACATTTACAAGCCTACATGATCTGGCCAGTCGGTCACAGACAGAAGCCTCCAAAGCTGTGCTCGAAAATTACCATCTCCTGTTTCCAAGCTGACTGTGATCTCATGGGTTTTTGTCATAGTGACGGAAAGCTGCCACCACAATCACTGTTAATATGGAAAGACCCACTTGGCATGGCAGTGAATTCCTTGTGCCCTTTCTATGCTTCCATGTCTTTGCAGTTAGTCCTATCTCAGAAGAAAAGGTTGAAATTTAAGTTCGGTAACACTACTTCTGACCTATGCAATAAGGCAACATATGGGAGAAAATTGTTGTAAAACTATTTTCTCTATGTAGTTCTAGTTAGCATGTTGGCACAAGCAAAGGACTTCCTCATTGGAGGTCTTATTCATACCTTTGAATGGGTCAGAACACGCTTAGGTCAAGCATCAGGGCTATGCCTCTCACCACGGCAAAAGTCGCTCTTGAACAGGGGTCCATTTCCCAGCCAAATTATCTTCTTAGTGTATTTAAACACAATCTGAGCAACCTGACCCCTACCCCTCCTCTGTTTCCCTCTCATTCTATCTCTTCCCTCATGCTACTACCACTTTCTTGCGCCTTCCATCTTTGCCTCCCTGCAGATCCTTAATCTAATCACTGCTTACTACAAGCTGATAAATTCCATTGGGGAAGAGCACCTGGGCTAATTCCTATCCATTCCAAAGGCAACGGAAAGATTCTATAAATAAGTCAGGGGCAATAACAAGGGATGGGTTACAGTAAAGGGGGCCAAGAGGTTTTTTTTTTTTCTCTCTCTCCAAACATACCTGAAAGTCATAAGCAGAATACGGCGGCAGATGAGGAGGGCTATGGTAGTAGGTATTGTACGATGTCACTTGAGGACGAGCATAGTAAGAAACAGTTGGGTGGGCATTTTCAACAGAGCAGTTCAGTGCAGGAACAGTAGGGTTCTGCAGAGAAACCAATTAGAAGCAATATATTACATACCATCATCATTAGGTGAATGGTTAAATAAGGCATAGCACGGACATTATAGCCTATCACCCAGCTAGCGATAAGCAAATATTTATATTTAGTGATATAAATAAATATTACTGATATTTGTTTATAATAGTGATATTATAAAAATAGTGATATTTAGTGATAATATTTATATTTATCTTGTATTTAGATAATCAAAGACCTATGTATAATGGCAGAGAAAGCTGTCCAGAATACATGGTTGTTTATTTTATATGTATGAATGTTTTGCCTATATGTATGCCTATGCATCCACATGTGTGCCCGGTACCCAAGGTGGCTGGAAGAGGATGTTGGATTCCCTGGCACTGGAGTTACAGATGATTGTGAGCCACCATGTGGGTGCTGGGAATTCTGGGTCCTCTGGAGGAGCAGGGAGTCCTCTCAAGCACTGCGCCATCACTCCAGCCTCTGATGTTCTTTTTCTCACTACGATAGAGCTCAGTGGTTGAGCATTTGCCTAGTATGTGCAGGGCCTTGGATCCAGTGCCCGGTTCTGCGGAATGAAAGGCTACTGTGCTAAATTACTGTAGTGTGCTCTAGTGTATGTTTCTAAACCTCGGTTACATGTTTATGTGTGTAAATGCAAAGAAATTAACCTGGAAAGATTCATAAACTGTTATTAAAAGTTACCTCTGCAGAAGGAAGTAATATTAAGAGGAAAATGGAAACTCTTCGCTTTCTATTATATATGCCAATATTTTTGCAATTAATACATACTGGGTCGTTTTCCTTAAGCTTTAAATTTGTTTTAGATTCATGTATTTTATTTCATATGTCTGAGTATTTTTGCCTGCATGTATGTATGTGCACCACATGCACGCCTGGTACCCACGGAAATCAGAAGAGGGTGTCAGATTGCCTAAAACTAGAATTACAGGTGGTTGGTTATGAGCTACCATGTGGGTGCTGGGAACCCAACCTTAGGCCGCTGCAAGAGCAACAAGTGCTCTTAGCCACTGAGTCATCTCTCCAACCGCTCCACCTTTTAAAAAAGATTTATATTTCTTTATGTGTGTGTGTAAATGCATGCACGCAAGGGCATGTGTTTGTGTGTGAACATGTGAGGGCATTGTCTGTGGTGATCAGAAGATTGCATTGGCTTCCCTGAAGCTGGAGTTATCGATGGTTGTGAACCACATAGGCAGTAAAACAGACCTTGGGTCTTCTGCAAGAGCAAGTGCCCTCGGCCCTGAGCCAATACTGCACTCCCCATATTCCCCAACTTCTTGCTGGAAGAATCCAAATCTATGGAAATGATGAAATCATTTGAGTGACACTTCCATTATTTTTGCCAATAAAGCAACGTAGGAATGATTTCTGTCTCTGCTATAACCTGCTGACAGAGTTAAAGCCACTGCCATCCATTTGTGTGGACAGTCAATAACTGTCTGCAAGGTGGACTTCTTCCTTCCAGGACGTCTCTACGCTACATTAACACCGAGCAGGAGCTTTGTCTGAAGTGGTGAAAACCTGTGGGTAGGTTTTGGCCGTGGCACCGGCAAGCATGTCAAGGTATTGACCTGGAAACTCCTTTCCAGACAGTTTCAGCAGAGTTCTGTTGCTCTGGTGTTTAGGTGTTGTGTGGGCCTAGAGGTGTGCAGAGCTACAAACCTCAGTCTTTACAGTGCACCTCACAGTGCCTCTTCTGTGGGAGAGGCGTGAGATCTTGGCTTACTTTACAGAGGAAGATATCAGAGAAGTGCCCTTCTTTCGCCACCAAAATTCAAAAATGACATTTCACCCCTGAGGACGTATCAGAAAGTATGTTTCTTTGGTCTCCTGTCTACTAGAAAACTACCCTGCCAGCTATTACAAAACAAAACCTTCTATCCAAATAAACCAAGCCTAACCATAGGAGCGCAAGCCAACAATGTAACTCTATCTGTAAAACGATTTCATGTGTTCAGCAGGCCAGGGGTTCAGGATTGTGTCTGAAAGAAAGTGAGCTATTACAGAGAAAAAAGCACAGAAGAACATAAAAGGAAGATTGAGTGCCTGCCGGAAAGATGCTGATGAGTCCAGGATAGAGGGGATAGAGAAATGGGGCAGGGCAGCAAGCAAAGGTGAAATGAATCGGCAGGGATGAAGCAACAGAGACAGCCAAAGACTGATCTAGCTATATTTCAAATGGATAATAGGATTTTAAAACATGCTTGTCAGTATTCATGTGCACACATAGGAGTGTGTGTGTGTGTGTGTGTGTGTGTGTGTGTGTGTGTACTTTTGTGTGTGCATGTATGTTATTTCAATTGAAACAATTCTGGAGAACAAATTATGATTCTATTCCCCGTTACCGCTCAGTAACTTTCTGAGCTCATCAAAGCAAAGGTTACTAGGAGGCACAGGAAAAGATGAAAGCAATCTTCTGTGACAAAACTGAGTCTACTGAGACAATGTTCATAGACTTTGGTGGAAAATGCCACTTTATTCTTCTCCAAATTATTCTAAATCGGAGACACTGGTGACTCGGGAGCAAAATGTACAGATGTGTTCGCTTTCTAGAGAGTCATCTCAAATCCTCATATCTTTGATCAACAAACATCGCATTGGACATTTCCTTCGGTTCACTCTCAAGCGTTTATGGCTAGGGTGTGAAGACATCCTTCTTTCATTTCAGCTCTGCAACAACGCTGCAAAATAATGGCTCTTAGCCCACTGTGTTTAGGTGCTGCCAGCTCACAGCATTTGGCTCCTATCCTTCCATCGGTCAGCACCCCTGAGCCTCCCTACAGACTCCAGGGCACTGTAATAAGGGAGCAGACATGCCAGTCACCAACTACATTGGGACCTAGGCCAAGGATTTTTGTTTTGGCTCATACATCTGTATTCTAGGACTTTCTAGATCATGTTCTCATTTTGATGACATCATCCCCTTGGTGGCCTCAAGTTCTATCCCCACTAGAATTCTTTTATCCCATGAAGCAACTATCTTTGGCCACGATCTTTGCTGTCATCTTTTCATTTCCCCCATGGGTCTTTGACAGAGCTTCCAGGCTTATGGTTTAATAACATCCAGTATTTCTCCTTCTCTCCACCCTTACTGCTAAGGAAGCTCCCAAGCAAATAGCAGGTAGCATTTGTTACAAAGCTTAAAGAAGCAGAAAGGTCGAGACAAATGTCAGTTGGGGGCAGAAGGGATGGAGTAGAAGGAGCAACACACTATCTGGGCTCCAGTCCACAATCTGCTACTTAATTCTGGGCAAACCACTTGAGCCCACTTGATCTGTTTTTCTTATCTGTTAATTGGTTATAGCACTTAATATCTGCTCAAGGTATTGAAGGTATCTAACAAAGATCAAACAAAAGTAAATGCACAAAGGCATTTAGAAAGGGCACACGGTCACTATCAGAACCATCAGCAGACTCCGCTCTCTTCTGCGCATAAAGAACAACTGACGTTCAGAGTTCAGAGAAAGATCTATATATGTGAGGTTAGCTTATTTTTGACAAGAACACTAAGAGTGAAATGGGGAAACAGCAGTCTCTGAAACTTATGTGCTACAGGAAATCATACATCTAGTAAGGGTTTAGTATCTCTAACAGGAGAAGAATGCTTATAAGTCACCAGGAAAAAGAAGAAAAATTTAACTGAAAAAAAAAAACAGGCAAAGCCAGGCATGGTGGCTCAAGCTTATAATCCCAGTGCTCAGGAGGCTGAGGCAGGAGGATTGTGCATTTGAAGCTAGCCTGGGCTATACAGTAAGAGCCTATGTGAAAAAAAAAAGATAGATAGATACGTAGGTTGGGGGGTGGTAAAAATCTAAGATGGACAACTTTTTTCTAAAGAAGGAATATAAATTGTCATGCCTGACATTATTGGTTATCCTAGAAAGGCAAGTAAAAATGACAGTGCTGTACCTACTGGAATCTTCTGTCAGCAGGGATGTAGAGAAGTTTGAATACAAGTGACTGGAGAGATAGCTCAGAGGTTAGGAGAAGTTTGAATCCTTGTATACTATTGGCAGGAATATGAGCTCTCTGATAGGAAAACAGATTGGCTCTTTATCTGGAAGCTAAACATAAAAGCGCCATACAATCCAAAACTCCCACTTTAAGTTTATATGAAAAAAAACTGGAAATTTTTATGCATATGTTTAACAGCATTTCCCCATGGCCAAAAGGTGGGCACAAATGTCCATCAAAATTTAAAAAGGTAAATAAAATGTGACACGTCCATAAGATGAAATATTATTCAGCCATTGAAAGAAACAAAGCACTGGTATATGCCAAAAGGCAGTTGCGTCTTAAGATGACAGTCCGTGGAAGGAGTCGCACAGGACTTTGTGTATTATATTTGTCAAGTTGGGAGCATAGGGCCCTGCCCCTCACATCTATCCCAGCCCCCAGGCCTGGTCTGGACTCCAAGTCCCAGCAGGCCAGGTCCTGACTGGAGGGGTCAGGACCACTCCCCAGGGTATTTAAGTGATCCCCAAAAGAGGAACACATGGTCTCCCTTTTTTTCCTCCAGGGGGTCGGGTTCCTGTGGCTTCCTGGTTTTCCCCTCTGGGCCACTGGAGAGCACAGATCTCCCATTAAACCTGGATATTTCTTAATTTTGCTTGTTTTGATTTGGCTTGATTGGAAATTTTTGCGTCATCAGGGAGCTCGCATTAGGAAATATTCCTAACAATATTAATCCATCTGTAGGCAACACCCAGAGGAGATGTGTCCACAATGACAGCAGATTAATGGTTTCTGGCAGTTTGGGACAAGAGGAATAAGGAGTAGCTGACTAATGGCTACAGGCTTCAGGTAAAGAAAGTGTCCCTGAAGTGGACGAAGCAGAGGTGATAACCACGTGGAATTTTGAGTGTACTGAATCACCGAACTGTACACTTCAAAGAGGTTGATGCTACCATTGAGATGTCCTCCTGGAGGTTTTTTTATTATTTCCCTTGATTTTTTTTTATTATTTTTTTTATTGAGAAAAGGAAAAGGAAAAAAAGTTTCCGTCTCCTCCCAGCCTCCCATTTCCCTCCCCCTCCTCCCCCCTTTCCCCCCCCCACTCCTCTCCCCCTGTTCCGGCTTGGTGGGAGCCTCCTGGAGTTTTTAAGGTGAGGGAAATCTTTGGTATGACGAGAAAGTCAAAACTTTGGAAGGGCTTAATTTCCTAGAGCACCACCTTCTAAATCTTTCCTTCTTCCCAATTTGCAGAACTTTTTTGAAGAAAGTCGTCTTTCTTAGGCACACTTTGACTGCACATCCCAATTCTTTTTGCCACCCTAGAAAATTATTAAATCTTTCACTCGGAGAGGTTAATTAATACAAGGTTTTAACACCTCCGTGGCATATTAGCCAGCCTATTTAAAATGTTACTACTATCTGGGGCTGGAAAGATGGCTCAGTGGTAAAAATCATGTATTGTCTTGAAGATGACCCGAATTCAATTCTCTGCACCCACAACAGGCAGTTTACAGTTGTTTGTAACTCCAGCCCCAGGGGATGCCCCTAACCTCAGGCCCATGCACATATACAGACGTGCATATGTACACATAAACAATAATAAAAAATGGAAGAACATAAATAAAATGTTACTGTCTTAATTTTGAAAGCAGACAAGAAACAAAGGGGCAATGCCTACCCGAAAATTTGGAAGGAAAGCAAACAAATGAATCGTTAGCACCATGACTTTGTGGGGTAAAATTAGAGGGAGGGACACCTTGCAGGTAAAGCAGCATTCATTCCATCAATGCAGGATTCCCTACCGCTCCACTAGATGGGAGAGCTTTTCCCATTCAGACAGTCCCCACCACTAGGAGACTCTTCTGGGGAAAGCATCCAAGGACAATGGCAATTCTTTTTCCCCAAAGAAACCTCAACCCAGAAACAGCTATGTCTTCTAAACGTTTCCTTGGGCCCCAGGTGACAGGAAATCCTTCTCTTCCCTAGTATGACAGCTGGGTCAAAAGGTTGCCTTACTTCTTAGTGCTTGGATTTCCCAGTGTCAGAGCAGAGGGGATGAGAAATGTGTACACGGGAGATGGAGAGAAGAGGGAGCAATAGACTGCGGCCCGACAAGGAAGGATTTCTCATGACGGACCCACCAGCGGTATACCCACTCTTCCTAATCAGGTCAGTTCTGCTGGAGAGGTTGTAACCAAAACTCCACTGTCACCCTCACCCTAGTTGCTTTCCATTTTCCCATCACCACCTTCTCAACTGTCTGTCTGGGGTCAGATTAGAGATTGCTATTGAGGATTCTGTTTTGAGGGGCCTTCAAAGAAGACATAAACAACCATAGAATCCTTGGGTCCAAAGAAAGTCCCTTTTAGGCACAAAAGAAGTCTGAAAAGCAGCAGCCAGAGAGGTGGCTCAGAGGTTAAGAGCGCCCACTGCTGTTCCTGAGGGCCAGAGTTCGAGAGCAGCTCACTCTATGTAAATAATGGGGGGGGGAGGGGGGAAGAACTCTGAAAGGGATATGTGAAGCAGTGGTCCTCAATCCTGCCTGTGGGTCAGAATCCCCATTCATAGGTGGGTTTCCATTTATACCGGCCAGATCAGAATGTCTAGGTGAAGGGCCCAAGCATGTGGATTTATTCTATTTTGTTTTGCTTTGCTTTATTTTAATACTCCAAGGGATTCTAATATGAAGCCAGGTTAATAACCATGGCTCAAAACTAACAGCTCATAATTGGAGATTAAAGTTTACCAGCATAGCAAATAAATTATTAGAAATGTTTTGAAAGCAAAAGAATAGGGCATCTACTGCTATTGGGGGAGCATGCATTATTGAGGATTCTGAGTGCTGGTGTGCATTTGCAGTCATGCACACATGCATGGGATACATTTCAAAGAGAGCAACAGGAATGTGGGTAGGCCGGGGAAGGCAAGACCTAACAAGCAGCTTAGCCTAGGGCTGAATCTTCAGGTATAAGAAGGGAGGGGGAAGCCTATATACTTTTACTGCAGAAACCCCACTGTGGAATTCCTATAGAAGATTAACATTAATCTTGCCTACAACTAAACATAAATTCCCTTTCCTTCATTGTCTCCCAAAGACCATTAAGGAGAAAACTAACTAGGAAAGTTTCTACTGAAAGTGATAAATTGTTCGCACAAGCAGAGAGAATGGGAAGTCTGAAAAGCCCCCTCTCACTCATTTTTCTCTCAAAATATGCCTCAAGATAACAGGAAGTTCATGTTAACAAGAAGGATAAGCAGATTGATGGCACTTCTCGCTCCATCTTGAGGTATTTGAAGGTAGCTGCATATACCACATTCGGATTCCTCCCTTGGAATAATGTATCTCCATTGTCCCAAACATCCTAGCCTGGTTTTCCATCTCCCAACAGACGGCCCTATGAAATGGAAAGTCGCTTTCTCTCTTACCATATCCTTAAATCCTCCAAGGACCGCAGCAGTGATGATACCCAGGAACAGGCCAACGATGTTGAGGATGGTGGCAGACCAGAGTAGGTGGTACAGGTGGATGATGTCCTGGCAGCTGCTGACATCAATGTATTCATAGTACCCGCCAGTGATTTCCACCCTACTGCATGGGGAGAAGCACAGCATAGTCAGTCTCCTAGCAGCAAAACATCTTCCTCCCTTGCCAGCACCACCAGGATCTGACTACTGTGTAGCTCAGGGAAAAAAAAATAAAACATGCCTAGAAAGGTGGGGAGGTTTTGTAGAACATATCATTGCAGCTCACTTGGAGTGTATAGCACAGCAATAAATATAATTGTGATTGATGTTTGTCTTTAAAAAAAAATGTTGCCTGCTAGAGAGACGCTTGTATCCATCATTAACACTGATCCTAAAGGACATTAATAGACACATATTATCTACCAGGCACGGTGCTTAGCATTTTCCCATATGTCAGTTCAGCAAATCAGGGCTGTCCAATATTGCAGCTACTAGCCATGTGTGGCTACTTATTAAGTCAAATTTATAAGTCCAAGCATTTAGTCTTCTCGTGTTTCAAGTGCTTCGTATCCATATGTACATAGTGGTTATTGAACAGAGCATATTATAAAGAATTTCTGTCATCACAGCAATGCCTGTCGGCACTGCAAACCCTTACAATATTCCACAAGGTAGAGAAGCGATTCTCAACCTTTGGACCAAGATCCCTTTAGAGGTCAAATGACCCTTTCACCGGGGTCACCTAAGACCATCAGAAAACACAGATATTTACATTATGATTCATAACAGTAGCAAAATTACAGTTATGAAAGAGCACCAAAAATGATTTTATGGTTGGGGGTCCATAGCACATGAGGAACTGGATTCAAGGATTGGTGGCAGCATCAGGAAAGCTGGGAACCACTGAGGTAGATGCCCTTCCACTTCCACTTTTCAAAGGACGGAAGTGAAGCCCAGGGAGGGTAAGGAACTTGGTCAAGTTGTAAGTGGTGCTGAAGTCTGATGGAGGCTTCAAAGACTTCCTTGTCTCCCCTTTCAAAACCAACCACCCAAAAGTCTACACTACTAAAACTCAGATGTACCACAAAACTTAGACTATCATCTCCTCGGAGAGGTCTTCCCCGGCTACCTTGTCTAACGATGCCCACACTCAGCCTAGTTACTCTGGGTCACATTACTTGGTACAGACTGATTCGTGCTCTCTATCCAAATACATATATGGAAGATGTAAACCCCGCAGGTTCTGCATCTACAAATTCAACCAGCCAAAAATTAAAAATTAAAAACGTGGGTCAGTACTGAACATATACAGACCATTGGCTGTCGTTATTCCATAAATAATATAGTATAATACCTCTTATCCTGACATTTACGTTGGATTAGGAATTACAAGTAATCTAAAGGTGATTTAAAATATATAAAAAGTTGTGTGTAGGTTGTGTAGGTTATAATACTCATGTTATATAAAGAACTTCCGCATCTACAGATCTTATCAGTAGGGGAGAGGGAGCTAGAAGCAATCACCTCCTTCATGCCAAGGGATTAGTGGCAAGATAAACTCACTGGTTTACTAAGCTAAACTTGGGTTGAATAATTTATTTCGTCGATCTCTGCTTTTTCTGGGGTGAATAGATATTTGTTCAAATCTCAGGGGGAAAAATCCATAAAACTGCCATGCATGACACACATCCTGTGCTGTATAAATACCCAATAAAGGAATCAAATGGAAATTCCCTTCCTTCTGGATATTGCAAAGCAGTCAGCATGAAGCATGGTGCTTAAAATTAAACATACAATAAAATGCCCTGGCATCTGAAGAGTATTATATGAGACTTCCATGTAATTGCATTACCAAGAATGAAAAACAAACAAAGCAAAATCAAGGATTAATCTCCACAATTCATGCAAGAATGACTTTTTGAGTTTGTGAATAAATTTAACTTAGGATCCTTTAAAAACAATTTCTCTGAGGAATTGAAATCAGTGTGCTTACAGGGTAGACGACATCAGAACCATCGATGAGTATTTAACATGTGTATTGCTTGTGTGTATCAATTATATTCTTTGTGTGTGGTTATGAATGTGTGTGCGAGCTTACAGAATGCACCAGACGGCATTGGATCCCCCCCCCCAAACTGGAGCTATAGGCAGAAGCCAGACCTTGGTTTCTGAAGCATCCATGTGAGGCAGCTCACAACTGCCTGTAACTCTAGTTAACCACTGGGCTGTGCCTCTAGCCCCTCATAGTAGAATTTTAATAGTATTTGAATTTATCTGAACTTGAATTGAAATTTCAGTATTTTTAAGAACTTATCTGAAGAGCCCATTCATAAGCATATTTTGAGTGTCTCCTATCTGTTGGCACTGGTGGTGGGGAAGGAGAGTATACATATTACTTATTACCCCCAAAAGATGCAAAAGTACAGGTTCAATCCTTTTGAAAAGGGCAGGTATGTGTCTGAGTGCAGAATTGTAGGGACATGTCAATGGCTTCAGAGTCATCTTCTGACATCCTCCCAATTATCCTTGTCTGTCTCCTAGGCTACTTCATATAAGTGAGCCGTACACACAGGAAGGCAGCACACCCTAGCACACTCTGGAGTCAGGCTTCATTAGAATCCTGACTGAAGTTTATTTGCTGCCTGATGAAAACATTTTGACCTTCTCTGAGCCTGGGAGATTTAATAAAAATGTGCATGACAGGGCCTGGTAGATGGCTTGGTGTATAAAAGGCTTGCCTTGTAAGCTTTATGACCTGAGTTATATCCTCAGAACCCACGTTTTAAAAGCCAGATGTGGTGGCATCTTTAATCCCAGTACTCCTATGGCAAGATGAAAAGTAGAGCCAGAATTGGCTGGAAGCTTTTGGACCAGCTAGCAGAGGCAGGAACAAGAGAGGAGACTCTGCCTTATTAGGATGGAAAGTGAGAACTGACCCCTGAGTGTTGCCCTCTAAAAACTCCACACGTGTGGTGTGTGTGTGCACACACACACACACATACACATCCAAAAGGCTGTGTATAAAGCAACACACAACAAGCAAAAAGAATTTTTTCCTTCTGAGAGCCGCAGTCTGGAAACATAATTCGGTGCACATGCCTCAACATGGAGCTGTGAGTTTTAAGAGTACATATTAATTTGCGACTTGATACATAGCACTTGCCTAGCATGTACAAGTCCCCTGGTTCCATCTTTGGCACCTCACAAAAGAAAAAGTAGTCAATTTTCTAGAGTATAATTGGTTTCAATTTGAGTGGGTTCGGCAACTATTTAATTTTTTAAAAACTGAATCATGAAGCAAAAGAAAGTTAATGCTTAATTATAGTATGGGGTTTAGCAAATTAATGTGGTTTCTTCTATTTGAGAGCCATGATTTCATTTGGTCCATTATCTGGGAAAAAATTTACCCTAAAATTGTATCTTTTGCCTTCCTATTGTTCTCACCCTTGGGCAGTCCTGCCAGACACCGTCCATACTTGATTAATCTTGCTGCAATCTGAGTTAAAAATGGAACGCATACTCTAGCTAGGCTGCAAATTCTTAGGGGGCCCAGACAGGGAATGCTGGGAGCTTTCTCAAAACCTTTACTCAGGTTTTTCCCTTCTAGAAGGTACTGTCTTCAGTTCCTGGCCTGTCTAAATCCCCCTTTGACTCGAAGCTTCAACGGGGCCTTCTCAAGGACTCCAGTGCCCACTCAGTAGATTTTCCCGCGAACACCCACAGCCTCAGGCAGTCTTTTCTTGGTAGCTTGTCGGTTATGCGTTTTTCATCTAAGCTAATATATACCGAGAGGCTGCTCCATGCTGAATAGTGTATTATAACCAGGCCACCATGGCGGTCTCTGTGAAACTTGTGACCTGTTGGAAGCGAGGGCCATCCCTTACATCTTTTCGTCTCTCGTGCTGTCTAGAACAGCTAGAAATATGAAAGACCACAGATGAACAGACAGCACACGAGGAACTGAATGCAAAGCCCGATGGCTGCATCGATTATGAGCGTGCTCATCGGATGTGTGCTTGCTTCCCCTTGGACTCCACTCCCCGGCTGGGCCTAAAGAAGCAGACAACCCGTTTTCAAAGGACACAAGTGGCAGCCGATTTGGGGGAAAGCAAGAATGCATCTTTCTGTTCTTAAATAAGAGAAAGCATGGCAATTTATCTTCTTCCCCCTCCCATCTTATCTCTCCATCCCTCCTCTTCTCTATCTCTGTCTGTCTCCTCTCCTCCCCCTAACTCCCCCTCTCTCTCTCTCCTACACCCTATTTTTTAAATCCCTTTCTTGTCAACTGAGTTTCTAAAGAACACAACAGCGCCTACCACATACTGGGAATGTCATCAAGGTTAGTTAGAGGAAATGAGGAATGGAAGTAAGCGGGCCTCTATCACTGTGCTCCCAGCTGAGGCAGTGCACAAACCACTCCATTTCCTTTAGGTTACACACTGAAAACCAGCGATATTGACTTGACCTCTCCAAAGATGAGTGAATAGGTGGAAGGAAGACATACCCTGCAAGGCCACTGCAGAGAAGCTGTGTCCTAGAGAAAGCCATCTTCCTGCACAAGGCTAAATGGAATAATCTATGTTTGGTATTAAACCTCACCACCCATGACGTCAGTGAAGGTCTGCGGGTTCGAGGGGACAGTAGACACTCTGTTTCTGCAGCACTGTACAAATGACTGCCTGATGTTTTTGTTCCCACTTTTTTTTTCTTGGCCTCCTTTCCAGGAAATGGACTGAAGGAGCTGGCAATTGATTAAAAATAGGCTTCGTGTGAGGAAAACAAATACGCATTCGGCAAAATTAAAGTCTCCAAGCCTCAGAATGCTGCTTGCTGGCTATATTTAGGCCTTGAATTTAACTCTCATTGGCTCTGGCTAAAAAAAAAAAAAAAAAAAAAAACAAACCTGGGTCAAGGAAAAGCTTTCCCTTCTTTTCAAGTCTGTCTCCTATTTAGTGTTATAGCTGCTTTCTAAACTGAGGGAAGTGCAAGCAAGTCCTGTTTTACTGGTTTTGCCCTTGGGATCCTGGCCACACAGAACTTGGGAAAGGGCACTGAGAGATGCTTGGGTCTGCCTTCTAGATACAGGATAGATTAATGCTTGAAGCTCTTTAGGAACGGCATGACCCATGTTAGCTGCTTCATCTAGTATTTTCTTTTCCTGGTGAAAAGGAAGGCTGTGCTTTGTTTTGGAGTGGGGATTTCTGGGGGGATGGGTTATTTTTTTTGAGACAGGGTTTCTCTGTGTAACAGTCCTGGATGACCTGAAACTAACTCTGTAGACCAGGCTGGCCTTGAACCCACAAAAAATCCACCTGCCTCTGCTTCCTGAGTGCTGGGATTAAAGGCATGCGCCACCACCACCACCATGTCACCACGCTTGTTTCTCCATTTTCCTCAGTTCTTTCTCTAGTCATGGCTGTGCTGGAGGCAGGGGACACGGAAGAAATGGAATCATATCCCTTGCCCTTTGGAGGTTCAGTTTAGTACAAGTTCTTAACAAACTGCTTTCTTAAAAACAACACTGGTGCCGGGTGGCGGTGGTGCACCAGTTGCCGGGTGGTTGCAGCGCACACCTTTAAACCCAGCTCTCGGGAGGCAGAGGCAGGCGGATCTGCCTCAAACAGGTCAGCGTGGTCTATAAATCAAGTTCCAGGAGAGACAGAGCTGTTACACAGAGAAACCCTGTCTCAAAAATCAAAAACAAACTTCCTGCGTTTCATTACCACTAAGTCAACCTAGACTGGGTCTCATTCTCTCCAACATCCCAGCTGTCTACACGAGCTAGTTCCAGGACAGGCTCCAAAGCTACAGAGAAACCCTGTCTCAAAAAAAGCCACACACACCCACACACACGCACACACACACACACACACACACACACACACACAAATAAATAAATAACCTGGTATGCATTGTTTTCTGAAATTTGGTTATTGTGAAATTTAGATTAACAAAAAGATAAGTTGGGTTTGAGTCTCCACTTTAAAAATAGAGAGAAAATAGTCAACCTTGGGCTCTGATAAATGAGATTTAAGTAACCTTTTATATATCTAATCCTTTTCCTGAAACATACTCATTGTAGAGACAAAGCTCTCTCTGTCTCTATCTATCTCTGTCTCCCCCCCCCACCCGTGTGTGTGTGTGTGTGTGTGTGTGTGTGTGTGTGTGTGTGTGTGTGTGATAGGTCACTTATCTCTATGGGTCTGCAGATCTCAGACCCCATTCAGTTCCTGGTGGCTCCCAGCACACCTTTATAGGTGCTGGCTGTTATTACAACATGAATATTTACGCCTCTCCCTCCACCACAGATAGTCCTTGCACCTCATTTGCATCTTTGAATTTCTCTTTCTCTACTTCGGGTATTCCAATGAAAGGAGACTGGTATTAGCAAAAATCCTAAAGGTCTGGGGCGAGCTCTCCCCATGCTTCTCTCCACTTTCAGCTGTCAGTTTTCGACCCTCAGACCAGAGAAGCTGCTCTCTGAATATCGATAGTAAGGGAATGTGTAGAAGTGCACTGCTTCCCTTTGAGGCCTCTCCATATGGATTCACCTAGCCCTCCTCTGCTGCTTCCTGCTCCCTCCTTGGGCCTTCAGCTCTCCCACCCTAAGTCTGAAAACAGTCCTGCATAGACAAGAATTTTCTGGCAACCCTGTATATGTAGGGCTATCCTCTCATTATTTGTAGCCCACACTCACAGGTCTCTGCCAATTCCACCTTCTAAATTGCTCTCTAAAAGATACTCCCTGTTGCCGGGTGGTTGCAGCGCACACCTTTAAATCCAGCTCTCGGGAGGCAAAAGCAGGTGGATCTGCCTCAATCAGGTCAGCGTGGTCTATAAATCAAGTTCCAGGAGAGCCAGAGCTGTTACACAGAGAAACCCTGTCTCAAAAATCAAAAACAAACTTCCTGTGTTTCATTGCCACTAACCCATCCTAGACTGGGTCTCATTCTCTCCAACATCCCAGCTGTCTCAAGTGTCTACCAGTTAGTTCAAGTTCATTTTTCATTAGCTCACAATCGCCTCCATGGTCAAAGCCAAAGGGTTCTTTAATATGAGAACCTGGCTCCTGCTTTCCCTTCACCGGCCACTACATTTTTCTCTACCTCCTGACAACTTGCAAGCATATTTTCCCCATTTCTACCTGCTTTTAGTTACATCCTAAATTTCTCCTTATCCCTTGTCTCCCATTCGCTTAGGCCACCAAGGTCCTTGTTTACAGCCACTGATCCTGACTACCCTATTAAATTATGTTCAAATAGCAATTGTGTATTTATTTGTCTTTCCTACAAAGCATGAAATCTGTAGTCTTACCACCTAATGTTTTGAAAGAAAGAATTAACTGGTGTAATCCTAACTGGATGGCAGAGACTTTGAATGGTTGGAGCATTGCTGGCACCAACCCTGCTTTGAACCCTTTATAGTTTGAGGTCCCCCTGCTTAAGAACTCTCTTCCGAAGTATCTTCTTGTTTTGCTCTTCCAATTTATTCAGGTCCCCTCACAAATGTCACCTTCACAAAGAGACATCCCATACCCACTTTGTGGACACAATTTCTCCCTCATTGGTGTCTACCTTTCCCAATTTATTTTTCTTCGGACCTCTAATCACAGCCAATATTATGCCAGGTATTATGTGTGTTTATAGTATCTCTCCTGCTAGAACATAAGCTCCAGGGGACAAAGACTATTGCTTTAATCCCTGACTAATCCTTAGTGTGGAGAACAGGTCCAGGCTCTGAGAAGGTACTCAATAAATATTTACTGGATGCTGTCAAATGTAGACATAGTGTTGAGTTTGCTTTCTACGTCTAGTTTCAAGTTCTGTATATCCTTTAGTTAACTGTCTTTCTTCTGAGCTCCAATTTCCTCGGCTTTAACATTCTACAGACTTTAGAGGCAAAAATGAAGTGTAAAGAAAATTATATGAGATAAAGGTTGTGAAAGTAGCCAGCATGACACCTTGCACAGAGAAGGCCGGTTAGGTGGAATCTGTAACAGACCAGGAGCCCCTGTTTCTATAACCCCCACCATAACAGCCTTCACCAGCCTTGGCTCACCTAGCACCGAACATGGCCAACCAATGACCGCTGTGTTTGTGGCACCATACTTACTTGCCACAGTTGTAGAGGTCACAGCAGAAGCAGGTGTTGCCCCGGATGCGAGGTGTGCAGAGTCCACGGCTAAGTTGAGGGCAGTTCACCTGAAGACACAAAATAACAATGGGAGAAGCTAGCACTGGGTGGGAGGATTGGTCCTCTGGGATTGGAGTGTGAGCTAGTGGCTGATGGAGACAGAGGTAAGGGCTGTAGCAGGAGCATAGTCTTGCAAAAGAAAGATGAGGCAGAGCAGAGAGGTGGCTTTGTGTGTGCACAAAGCAAGCACCTGTAGAGCTGGCATTGTGTTCAACCCCAGGCATGGCCCTTAGTGCCCCCACTTATCGAGGGCAGAGGGAGAGAAGAGGAAGGACAGGCGGAAGAGTCTATGGAATATTAGATGGCTCTTAGGGAAGGAGGATGAGAAGGGTTTGCAAAGCGGGACAAGGGATGAAAGAGGATCTGGTCGAAGGAAATACAGAGGGCCATACATGCACAGGGAAGTCCACCAGTACCTCCTTAACTGCCTGGGTAAGGTTCCGCAAAGCCCTCGTCGAAGGAGAAAGTTTGCTTGAGGAAGTTATGACCTTATACAGGAAAAATTGAGTTAAGAGAAACAGGATTACAGGCAAACTTATGGACACTGTTATGGTATTTGCGCAGTTGGAAAATTAATACAAGACGCTTTCAGAAGGAAATCAAGAGAATAACCACAACGGTCGTTACACTTTCTGAGCTTACAAAAACATTTTCCAAAACTAAAAATATAAGGAATAATCTGCATTTGCCTTCTCTCAAGAAATTGTTTAAGCTCCCTTCCCTCTACCGGTATAGTAAAGTACTTTCACAGTGTTTGGCTTCGTTGCAGAAATCTTCATAGGAAATGGGCGCTTTTCTTCATCTTGGACCCTATGCATCCAAGTGCCTAGTGCCTTTTTGTTATGCTCTTCGCACACACACACATTTTATTCCTCTTCTAACCCAGGAACAATTAGAAAAATGGTAACTTCGTGGTTGCTAGCAGAAAATGGACGAAAGGGAATGCTACTTCCATAATGAAAAGCATTTGCTGTCCTTTGGAGCAAGACTATGGCTTTGTCTAACTCCAAGAACACCATGCACGATGTGTTTTATGTAAAGGGGCCTCCCAGCCACTTTATGTGTGTGATGTAGTGGCCATTTTGCCTCCATTTCTCTTCTTTTCCAATCACACATGTGCTAGCTTTTAATGTTATTTTTGTAATTTTTATTAGTTCTCTGAGAATTTCATACAATTCATTTTGATCCTATTTACCCCCTTTCCTAACTCTTTTTAGACCCCTCCCTGCTTCCCTACTAACCCAACTTTGTGTTCTTTATTTTTTCTCCCCCAAGTCCAATTTGTGTGCACCAATGCACCCTTGGGTGTATCCTCACAGTGAATGGCTTTCATTTTGAGGTTAACAGGGTGCCAAATTGTCAGAGTTCCCAGAAACAGGTAGACCTTCATATGTTGGAATCCACTGGTTGGGATGGGATTATGACATGCTGAAATGAAAGTGCCCCCCCCCAAATGTTGCCACTGTGAGTATCTCTAGCTGAAGCAGCATGAAACACAAGGGAGTGTAGGGCAGGACACAAATACTCTCCTGAGATTACGCAAGGACTATTAGGCTGGCCTCTTAGCGGTGTCATGACAAGGCCAGACTATCAATCTGGGCCTTCTTAGAACCTTGAGACAGAACAGATTGTTGAGCTATTCTGATTTGGCCTCCAGACAGTTCCCACATGTGGGATTCAAGCTTTGCCTTCTTAACACAGGCCTGGTGACCTGGTGAGCTTCATATCTCCTTTGAGCTGAGCACCAAGTCCAGGCAGCTGAATCAGCAGCAGCAGAGATGGGAGAGGGACACACACTGAGAGACTACTGGCTGGGGTCAGAGAGGCAGCCTGTGTCCGTGGAACAAAATGAACCTGGTTAGGCCTCGTGAGGCTCCAATCTATGGCATATCCTCAGTAACACTGTATTTTGACCCACTGAACCAATAGCTCTAGACACCTAGCAGTAAGACTTAAGCCTATGGAAAGAAATAATATAGAAAGTGTTTCATGGCTGGAGAGTTATCTTGGCAGTTAAGTGCACTTGTTCTTGCAGAGGACAGGGTTCGATTCCCAGCATCCACATGGTGTCTCATCACTAACTATGTGACTCCAGTACACATGTGGTGCACATACATACATGCAGGCACAACACTCATTCACATAAGATAATCAATAGATCTATTTTTTTTTTAAAAGAAAGTTTGTTTCAGATAAAACAAGGGACTTTCCCATGAGGTAAAGACATGCAGCGTCATTGTGGCTCACCTCCTCAGCTTCCCTCTGGGATGTCTTGGGAACATAGTGGCACCGGTTAGCATAGAGTGGTTTCAAATCCTATAAAGGGAAACACCAAACCAAAAGGGTTTTGGCTTTGGAAAATAAAATATCAAGAGCCCCACTTGCTAATAAAAGATCTGAAACACACACATGGGGGGGGGGCAGTAGGTCGAGTTAAATTCTTAAAGTTGTCTACGAGGAGGCCTGAGACTGTATGGATTGGACGAAATCCTTCTAATAACTGCTTTCTGTTAGACTACTTGGGTTAATGAGAAACCAGGAAAGCTGATTGAAAAGTGAGCTTCTTGAAATTTCCTCTCTGGTTTTCTTTCCCTTCTAGGCTTTGTCTTCTTGCACTCAGGCCCTAGGGAGCAAGATGATTCAAAACTCCAGGTTATTGCAATATTACACCTCTAAATAGAGAGAGCACAGCTTTGACTATGAAGTCTCATTATCACCTGGGGACTAGGTAAGGGCTGGTTGGCTTGTGCTCCCTGCCTTTTCAATTGGAAGCGATGAAGAAGCCAGAAGCTGGAGGAGGATGTGCAGCCACCTAGTCAGCTGGAGGTTTTAACTCAACTGAACCACAAGCCATTTTCACTCACCTACGCAGCTTAGATAAAGTCAGAGAACTTAAAATGTACTTCTAAGGCAAAGGCAAAAAAAAATTAATGTGGAGATCAAGGACGGTTGATTTACTCCGCTAGCTTGCCCAGTTTTCTGATGAAGCTGTCAGGCATTGAGGGTTGGAGTCAGAGATGCCTGATAACCAGAAGATGCTGTCATTTCCAGAACCAATGCTAAGCATCCCTGTGTAGTGGGGGTCTTTGGACAAGGTCATATTAGCAGCATAAAGTTTATGCAAAATGGCCTTAGGGGTTTAGTTCAAAGGGCTCGGGCAGCATGAAATTTATTTTTTGCCTTTCCCCTTCTGCCCTCACTTCTCTTTCTAGTTCCAATCCTGATGGTTATTTCCCCTGTATCTGTGATTTAGAACCCCCCTACACTTGGCATTGAGTGCCTCTTGCCTTCTATTCTGTGGCCCCATCAATGACCCTGGGCTTTCATTAGCTCATGTGCCATAATTCTCTTTGCTGTTCAGTGTTACAAAAATGCACGGCTGTCAATTCAGTCTGGAGTCAGACTAGGAAGGAACGCGGACTCCCGTGCTCACAACTGGCAGGATTTATTTTCTCTGTTGGAGTAACAGCAAATTTATTATTATTGGCTCAAGGAAAGGTTTGACCATGGTGCCGGCCATAGCCCTGGGACCTGGTTTTGCAGAAGCCATTCAGCTTAAACAAAGACAGGCACGCAGGACGATTGCCCACTAGCTATGGCCGCCTACTATTCTACACTTAATCCCCCAGGAGAAGGGCAAGAACAGGCAATTCAGGGGTGAGAAGAGGTCACTGAGCCTGAGCTTGCAGCCTCTTTAGCTTGGAGGACTGCCAGACTTGACAGGGAGGGACGGGAAACGGTACTGCTATATATTAGATGGCTTGCTCATACCTACTATGTAACTGCACTCTCTTTCTAACCCTGAAAGGTCAATTTCTAATCTCTACACCGGGAAAAGAAAGAAATCGTAACACAGGAGAGCAAACTGGCTTCTCCAGCTAACGAATGGTCACAGGCGGGAAGATGGAGAAAAGAAAGGAATGCGAAACAAGAAAGAGAAAGAAGAACACACTTAAGAGGGATGCATCAGGAATTATTAGATCTTGGGAAAGTTTAGATTCACTCGAGTCAAAGAAATATGGCTAGATGATATTAGAGGGCCTCCCCAACAGGGCAGGATGGCTTTAGCCCACCTGAGTTGGCTAGGATCTAAATGGGACTTCTATTATGTAGTCTAGTAAATGTCCACCAAACGATTCAGGTGCCAATGACAACTGCCAAATCTCCTTGGGCAGGTTCAGTGTTAGAAGAAATATTTCTTGAAGATGTGCCCAGCCTTACCTTATGATACATATTGTAACTAAAAGACAGCAGCTTTCTTTTAAAAATTATTTATTTATTTATTTATTTTGTATACAATATTCTGTCTATGTCTATGCATGAAGGTCAGAAGAGGTCACCAGACCCCATTACAGATGGTTGTGAGCCACCATGTGGTTGCTGGGAATTGAACTCAGGACCTTTGGAAGAGCAGGCAATGCTTGTAACCTCTGAGCCATCTCTCCAGCCCCAACAGCAGCTTTGTTGAAAAAAAGCTGTGACTGTCCTGCCAGAGAAATGCTCACTAGTAAGAGTAGTATCACGGCCTTAGGGCAGCTGTGATGTGGTTCTGTGGGATAACGGATCATTTGATTCTGTGAGATAAAGAGTTTCTGACTCCTGCAGGTTTCCTGGTGGCTGGGGATGGGGGTAAATTCCACATCATGTGACCATCCTAGAAGTCATAAGGCACTGATAAAAGTAAAGTTATAAGCCGGGTAGTCTCAGGCCTGGGAAGCAGGGGGGCTGGACTTGTTGGCAGCTGAAAGGGAGAGACAGTCAACTCAGAAAGGTCATGGTATGCCTTCTTATCAACTCTCTGTGCGGGGAGAGAGACTGCAGGGGAGAAAGACTTGACTTCTGGGACAGAAGGGGAGTCAGAGGATCTGTGACTTAACAGCATTGTGGTGCCACCAAAATCTGATGACTATGATGCTACTACCATAGAACTGAGCAAGTGCAGAACTTGCAACAGGCCTTGGGTCTTAGAGACAAGTAGGTGGCTGTGGTCATTAATGATGATCGACTTGACAGAACCTGGAATCACTGCAGAGACGAGCCTCTGGGCATATTTGTGAGAAATCATTCAGATTAGGTTAGCCTACGATCGTGACTGAGAGTGACGATCTTGGTTGGGTTAAATGAAGCGAAAAGACCCACACTGAAGGGCAGGGGCGCCATTCCCTGAGCTGGCATCCCTCACTGAAACAGTAGAAAGTGAACTGAGAACCAACATTTCTCCTGCCTGCTTCCCGGCTGCAGATGTGATGTAACCAGTGCTCTGGACCCCGGAGGCCATGCCCTCCCTGCCATGAGGGACTGTGCCTCAAACTGGGAGCCAAATTAATCCCATCCTTACGTCGCTAGGTCCTTTTCCTCAGGAAAAGTAACTAAAGCTGGACTCATAGGAACGTCCCAGTCAATAGAGCTTGGATTTTTTTCACCATTGCCGCTAACTGAACCAATGATCCAAAATGTTATGCACATAAGGAAAATATAAATCAAAACCATAATGAGGTACTGCCCCACACTCTCTGGCACAATCAGATACTAATGACAACTGGTGACGCTGTGAAGAAATCTGAATCCTAATACATTGCCGGTGAGTATAACACAGCACGACCACTTTGGAAAACAGTCTGGCAGTTCCTCAAACAATTAAACACAGTTATTGGATGTCCTAGCCGGTCCATTCCTAAGTGGAAAGGAAAGGAAAGGAAAGGAAAGGAAAGGAAAGGAAAGGAAAGGAAAGGAAAGGAAAGGAAAGGAAAGGAAGATGCAAATAAGCCCATTCAGAGACATGTGCTCAAATGTTAACTACTTCATTGTGCCCTTTAACTGGTGAATGGACAAACAAAATGTGGTCTATTCATACAGAATTGCACCATAGAAAGGAATGAAGCACTGTCCCGGGGTATAACCTGGATGAACCTTGAAAACATTATACTAAATAAAAGAAGCCAATCATGAAGTCCACATATTGTACTATGTTCCTTTTGTATGAAATGTGTAGAATGGGAATAGCTATTAAAGTTGATGCTTCGGGTTGAGGAGGATAGAGAGATAGGATATAATGGGCAAAGTACATAGGGCTTTTCTATGAAAAGAATCCAAAACTATCTGATGTCCCCATCTAGCTGTGAATAGAGTAAAAACTATTGGATTATAATCTTCAAATAGATGAGTTGCTCAGCATATAAACTATATTTTAGTAAATACATTTTAAAAACATTTATGAGTGGAAGAAAGAAGAAGAAAAGGAAGCCATTTTAGTTCATGATGCCATCAAAATCTACTCTAGGCTTCTGAGTCGCTAGGCCTATGTTGCCATGGAGACTGTTTCAGAGTGAGTACTGCTTGTCAAATAGGGATAATAATGCCTGCCCTACATATCTCACAGGATTGCTGTAGGTCTCGGAGGAGGTAATAGATGTGAAAACACATTGAAAACCTAATGTATTACATAAAAAACAAGGAATTAGTGTTATTAAGATGGCTCTTATTGAATACAAAATAGCTCGCACACTATGACTGACTGCAACCAATGCTACAAAACATGTATAGATTCAGGGAGTAATATGCAAAGGCCACCTTAATTGCTATGTTAAGGAACATAATTATAACTGTTAATAATTACTGATATATCATTTAGGAATCAAAAGATGGCTGGAACAAAGTGACTTCTCTTAGCTAAAATATTTCAGTCTGGTAGAGGGAATAATATTTATATTCCTGACCCTCAATACAAATCAGAGAAAGGGCATCTCTTTTCTGTACCTTATTTTTTCTCCCTAGACAGATTTTTTCTTAGGCTCTAATTTCAGAGGCTGATTAGGTAGACAGCATTAGCAATAATGAAGCCTTTGATTTTGGCAAATAAGGAGTAGGCTCTTTTGTCTGAAAGAAGAGTCCATAAAGGCACTCCAATTGAAATAATGATGTCCCAGGTCATTCTAACCCAGAACTCGTCACAGCCTTGAAGCTTCTTCAAATGACCTGGACAATTAGCCAATGGCTGACATGCACCAACATGCCATTTGAGCCACAGAAATTTCTGATAAGCTAATTGTGCTCTGATTCAGCTCTTTTAGAAAATATAATTTTCAATAGTCCGGGAAACATTTTCATTTTCAAGCTTAATTCAGCGGGAAAAAAAACTGAGTTTGCTCTGGAGGCTTGGGAAGCGCACTCTTGATGTTGGTCCTTGGACCACATCATGGCTACTTAATGATTTCTTATGTCCAAGTCTCATCTGTTTGCCCAGTCCCCCTTTTCCATTGAAAAGTATTCTTAAAGAATGTTTTTTGACTGTATTGGAATAAAAAAAAATATATTTATGTTGTGTGCCAGACTTTTTTGTCCCAACCTAAAAGATCACCATTTTTCTTATTTGAGAAGAAATAGCAGCATTTTTGTGGAACCCTAAAATTATGATGCCTTCTAGACACTAACTATGCTTACTGGGATTAGTAGGAAAGTTGTTCCTGGGCCAGAAGTCTGGAAAAGGGTGAAACAGAACATGGTAAAAGAAGGACAAGGGCCAGAAGGTGCTATGTAAGTTGTTAGCATGGAAAAGGTATCAGTAGTCTAACCTAGCTTTGAACGCTCCAAACTATAATACTAACCTGCCAGGAATGGTGACCCCACTGGTGAGAACTGTTATTGGTGGTAATCAAGCACTCTGCAATCGGATTTGAAGCCCACCCCATAGGAGCAAATCTATACCTGGTACTGAAAATCTGCTTAAAAGCACATGATGAGGGAAGTCATGGGTCCTGAGGGAGGCCTTGTTTAGCTGAATCAACATTGCACTGACCCAGCTTCTAAAGACATATATTGATACAAGTAGACAATTATCACTCTTGGCCTTAATCACAGGAGCCGTTCTTTCTAGTGAACTGTGATAAACACAGAGACTTACAGTTGCAAAAGGTGTTGAGAATCAGTGACAGTGGAGTGCTCAGCCCTAAACACGACATTTATACCAGTCCCTCCAAGACTCAGGAAAGACTATAGAAGATAGAGCAGAAAGAATGTAGGAGCTGGAAGCTATGGAGAGGGGTTGCAAAATGCCATCTTCGGGGAGAAATGCACATTTTCAACAATTATGGATGACTTTTCTGGGTATGTACAAAAGTGAACCCATTAACAGTCGGGCATGGACACAACAGGGGCCCAGGAATCCCTAACATGTTGCTGAACTATTTCCTACTGTTAAATTCAGTAAAGGGGGGGGTGCCATTGCCTTCAGTTATGTGCCCATTGGTGATTCCACCAAATTGCAATGCATAGTCCCAGTAAAATGGTCACACAGACATCTCTGGACAAATTAAATAAAGTCACAAATGAAATTAAAAAAAAATCACGAATCTGGGAAAAAGACAGGGAGGGGGAGTGGCTGTTGATGGGAGTGGGAGGGGATAAAAAGAGGAGGGATGGGGACAGTAATCAGGATCCATTTCTATACATGCCTGGAATTTGTCAAAGAACTAAGTTTGAAAAGGGGGCGAAGTCCTTTATAAGGAGCTCAACGGGCAGTCCTTAGTCCAGACTCCTCCAGATAAGCAGCACAAATTGAGGGCTCAGGAGTGAGGACGGCCCTTACTGAACGCAAGGCTTCTGCAGAGTGAGAAATATTTGACACCTGGGCCCAAGGACTGAACTCAGGGTAGAGGCTTTAGGTCTAATCGTTCTCCAGACATCCAAGTACATCATTCCATTCCGACCACTGCTATGGAAAAAGCAACGTTTGAGTCTGAGAGAAAGGTAGCTTTGTCCTCACAGTCTGTTCTTTGTGGCCGTTGAAGGCGAGGTTGATTTGGAGACTTTTAGCACTTTCAGGAAGTCATATGGCTTCCTTCTTCTCTATCACTGCCCCCAGGACTAGTTCCAAGCCATCCCTTAACCCCATGCTTTTGTCTTTGCCTTTCCAAATTTCACATGCCAAAAGGCTAGGCCTATTCCTATTGTCACTTAGAAGTCTTTCCTGTGCTTTGGAGTTCAAGACACAATGAACTCCAGGTACCACTACGGCACCTGGGGTGTGTTCTGCCATTTTCTGCCCAGTTTTCTAGATGCTTGCATTGTTCACTGATGTTGTCACCTTGACTACCAGCTACTGAAGACTGAAGAGCTTCCTGCTCCCTTGTACGTGTGTGCCCCTCGAAGCACTCAGTACACATTGACTGGGGGTTTGTAGTGTTGCGCAGTTTCTTAAGTTCAAGGCTAATAATACTCACAATGTGTCTGGCAGCAAAGACCCCGTCCACTATGGCACAACAAAAAGCTGCAATCACGCCAAAGCTGATAAACACGATAGAAGCCACCAGCTGCGGGAGGGAACAAAATCAACATGTCTGTTAGCTTGCTGCTGTTGCTGCTTTTGGAGACTGGTTAATCCCCCAGAGACTGCCAGCCAAAGCAGAACTCTAGTCTGTCACTGATGGGGGATGCTTTTTTTTTTTAAGTCATGCAGGATGAGTGGGCATGGCAGTAGGCAGGGAGGGAGAGAAGGGGCAACTGAAGCAATCTGTTTTAATAAATTTCCAGGGTAAGCCCATCAATTCATTCTGTGAGCACCAAACAAAGAAACTTGCTGCTATCCAGCATGCTATCCAGGAAGGAATTTAACTGCATAGCCCTTCCATCCTCAGATTCAGAAAAATGTTGGACCTTGAACATCATGTAATCCAATCCTATATTTTATTTTATGTGGGAATGGAGGCACAGCAAGGGGAAACAGTGTGTCTAGTGTCGCTACTTAGCCTATGAAAGAACTGGTGCCCAGCAACTCATAGCCCTTTGTTTTTGTACCCCCTAACTCTGCTGCTTGATGACACATTGGACACTTACGATAACAAGAGTGATTCTTGGATCCTGCCTAACTCTACATCACCTTGTACATCACTGAAGAAAGGGGACATTCAATTTACTAACACTTACGTATCAGAGAATTTTTCCAAGGATTGAAGTCTCTGAAATGGATAAATTCTGTGTGGTATATGTTAAAAAAATCTTTCTCTTTTATGAGACGTGGGCTGATGTAGCCCAGACTGGCTCAAATTTATTTTATGGATAAGTCTGGCCTTAAACTTCTAATCCAGCCACCAATGGGCTAGGAAGACAGTCCTAGCTAGAAATTTTCAAATAGCAAAGCCAGATTGGCAAATTCACTAGTCCCGTTAGATAGCAAAAATTTTCCTAAAGTGTGTCTTCTAGTACCAAGACAATGCTTTAACTCGTGGGGGCATCACAATTTCAGAATGTCTCGAAGGACAAAGGGACATGGTACATGAGCCCACAGTCTGCCATGGTGACCCTCTGAGCTACATGGAATCAGCATTTTTCTTTCTTGAGGCTTTTGGGGAGAAAGAGGAGGCAACAACATGGCATCAAGCTAGTCCCCAGGGAGAAGGAAAAAGATCAAAGCCAAGGGTACCCTAGGGTTCACCCACTTCAGCAGGCTGAGAGGAAATACTTATCTCCTTTGGGAGGTGTTCAGAAACCTCTCTCCATAAATCTCACTTCACAGCACTGCAGATGATTGGTAAATAATGGATGAACGATGTCATGAAATTGGCATTATTAGCTATGCTACCATCAGCTCTACAATTAAAACTCCCCCTCCCCCATTACTTTGAATAATTTAAGCCCAAAGTGCAAACGCAACTGGCAAGGGATGAAGTCCAGGTAAAATGGAAGAAGAAACTATTAGAGAAGTCCCCTGGCAGCGATTCCCATATTGCTGGGGGAGACACATGGTTAGAGTTCTATCCCTAGGGCTATTACATCATTTTATTAAGCGTGATGTTAAACAGACCCCACTGCCAAAGTTTGGATGCCACAAAGACTTGTCCACGGGGAGTCTGAGCAGGCCAGTGTCTGAACACTCACCAGGCTTCCTGATTTGTGATTCTATAAAACTGCTGTGCTGGCAATTCTGCATAGCCATTCTACCTCTTGCCGTCAAGGAAGCCTTATCAAAATTCAACCAGGAAAATACATCAGCTTGCCTTTGGGGGATCTCATTAGGATGGCAAACCTCACCTTCTGTTACATGCTGACCCCTCCTCTCAGCTTTATAACTAGGGATGGCAAAGACACAAAGATATTGTAGATAGACCGTAAATTTCATTTGTCTGATCTAGGTCTTAAGCGTGTTTACTTTCTTTATCTTTCTAGTTTGGATCTTGGTTTTGGTTTTGAGACTAGGTCCCAAGGAGCTCATGCTGGCCTCGAACTCAAGAAGTATTCAAAGGTGATCTTGAACCGAGCTCCTGACCCTCCTCTCTCAACATCCTGCGTGTCAGGACTAGAGGCATGCACCACCATGCCCAGCTTACATTTGTTTCCTTAATTGAAGTCCCCTAGACTATAATCTCCTAAAAGGTAAAAACCCTTTGTGAAGATGTTTCCAAATCCTTATGTAACCAAAAGGGAGCTACGAAAGTAACCAAAAATTCAGGGCTGCAGTACTGTGTATCATAGAAACACAGGCATTCTGTGCCAGAACAGCAGCCTGATTGAGCAGCCTGAAGAATTCTTTTGAGAATAAAGGAGAAAGCTTAAAGAGATGGGGCAGGTCAGTCAGGAAACACTGGGCAAGATGCAAACCAGTCCCTACCACCAGCTCACTATGAGACAAGTTCTCTGAAGGCTTAGGGAAAAAGGTGAAGTAACAGTTTCTTTTGTGGCCAAATTTGCTACTAGTCATCCACATAAACATTGAGCTTGTTACAATGGTGAAAACTTACCATCTGCCGCTTGTTCTCAATAAGGTTTGAGCCGATGATTCCAAGGAATGATCCAAAGCCAAGCTGTAAAGCAACATAGCATTTAGAAAGACAATCAACCTACCCACACAGTAATTCTAGTCCCTGGCCATGATTCAGGATAGTGGAAAAGAACTGAGAGTGTAAATGTCAAAGCCACATGTAGCTTCTTACACAAACACACTATGTACGGTGAAAATATATTCTATTATGTGCAGTTTTCTCTTATAGCAATGACTCACACTGAAAAAAAGAAACTCCTGTGCCCCCAAACGAAAGGGAAAGGTCAACTATAGCTTTTTAGAGCCTGCCTGTTTCAATTTTAATATCCATTACCTAGCATATGACTGGTGATTCAGTAAGAGACATATAATGGTAAACAGCATACATTATTGCCTGATCTGTATCTGGTTTTGAAAAGGACCCTGCACTCTGAAGCATGGATTACAGAATAAAGGTTTGCAAAGGCAATTTTTGATGCATCAGGCATACTAATCAAACTCAGGAAGTACTTTAGGAATCAGCAAGCACCTTAACGCATACTAGAAAAAAAATAGAAATAGAAAAGAACCTTTTTTGAAAGCCTATATTTGTGGTTGACCTACTGCAATTTATGTTAGCACTTATTCCCCCTCTTTTTCCATCTCTGCTTCATTTATGGACAGAAAGCATTCATTAAAGGGTGAACAGAAACGGCAGTGTAAAACCCTGAAAAACAATTTCCCCGACTAAGTGGCTGGGATTATGGCTCAGTGTAGAAGATCCCACTGCCCTCTAGGCTCTGCCATTAGTGGATTGAGCCTGCCAGTCTCAGTTGAAAATGATCGCTAACCAATAGCTATTGATGGGTATGGAAATGGAAGAAGTAAAAAGTGGTGGAAATGGACCAATAAATCTTAACACCATTTCTCTTTCGCCTCACTAACAGTCCCACTTTGCACCTGCAGCTGTATCTTGGCTCACAGGGGCATCGGCTTTAATCTAACTCCCAAACTTTGCATCTAGGCTGGGAAATCTAACGAACCCAAGAACTGGTTCTGATGGGACCATGTTGGGGAACTGTTTGCCTCAGGATCCCAAGAATGGAAGAGACTGAAAGGAAGCAAAGATTCCTTCTGCAGGACCAGCAACCATTCTTGGGAAACCAAAGCTGATGTGTGTGAATGATAGCCCACCCCATCCCAGCCTCCTGAGATTAGCCTCCTGCAACAGCTGACATGTGCTTCTCTCCCTCTAGATATTCTTTCAAGTACAGCTACAATGTGTTGCCTCAGAGTATACCGATGTAATCTTGGCCATCGGACTAGCTTGTGTTTGATGCAATCCCAGATCTTCTACTAATGTCTGTGCAATCTAGAACTGACTAATCAGCCTTCCTTGTCTGTAAAACAGAAGGAACCACCGTAATGTTATCTTATAGAACTGTGTAAAGTTAACTCAAACAATACAGTCAAATAACTTTGCATAGCACCTGCTATATAGCTAGTACTGAGAAAATACTGTCTTGTTCTAGTGACTAGAATCATATTTTTAATTTAAAAATGTATTATTGCATGTGGATGGCTATTTTTCCCGTATGCATACCTATGCACCATGTGTGTGCAGTGTCCTCTAGGTCAGAAAAGGTAGAAAGATTTTGACATTACAGGTAGTGGTGAGCTACCATGTGGGTGGACTGGGAATAAATCAAACCCTGGTCTTCTGGAAGAGTGACCAGTACTCTTAACCATGAAGCCATTATGTCCTTAGTATTACATTTTTAAAGACATTTAAGTTTTTAAGAGTTATTATTACATTCATTTATTTACATACATGCACACACTCACACACAGCACACACATGAGTGTCATGGTGTGAGAGTGAAGGTCAGAGGACAACTTAAAAGAGTCAGTTCCTTCCTCCCATCACCTGGGCCCTAGGGACTGAACATGGGTTGTTGGACTTTGTGGTAGGTGCATTTACACGCTGGGACATCTCACTGATGCAAAAGACATTTAACTTTGGAACTGCTCTAAACGTGATTTGACCTGGAAAATTCTGTCACTGCTTTTTTCATTCCATAAACATCTCCATGTTTTGTCTCCTCTCCTCCTAATATGTTTCATAGCTTTATTTTTATGGAGGAATTCGATGAAGTATTATGTTACGCTATGACATTGTGAGCCACTTGTGGAGACTAGAAATCCAGAGCATTACTTCTTACAGGGAAAATACATCCTTTAACCAGACAGTTTCTCAGTCTCCACGGATATTTATAGACTATCTTTTGAACCCAAACAGCAATCTTCCCCTAAGACAGCATGATGGTTAATATTGCCTGTCAATTTGACAGAAGTGAGAATCATGGTGGAAGAGGAAAGCTTACCTCTGTGAGGTTGAAGTCAGCCTGATCTAAACAAATCAGTACCAGGTCAGCCAGAGCAACATAGTGAGACCTTGCCGAACAACAACAACAACAACCACAACAAAACAAAAAAGCCTTATAATCACCATGGAAATACACCTGTGCCGGTGTTTCCAGAGAGATTTGACTGAAGAGGGCAGACCACTCACTTGGAGTGTGAGCAGGACCATTTCATGAACAGGAGCAAGCTAGTAGAGGATGAGCAGGCATCATCACTCTGCTGTCTGCCTCGGAATATAGTGTGACCAGCTGCCTCTCACACCTGCTGCCAGACCTTCCCCTCCACAAACAATTGTGTCTCCTGTAACTAGAAGCTGAAATCAATCCTTCCTTCCTTAAGGTACTATTAGATTTTGTAGATGTATAAATATATATTTCAGTTAAATAGGTATTCTTCAAATCTTTCAGAGACCTTCAAAATATGGCATTTAAAATGTTTAAAAACCTAAGACTTTTCATGACAGTGAGACACATCTGCTCCTTGCAGCACCAAGCTATTTCAAGAAGGTGATGGGCATTGAAGAGGCTTCTTATGGAGTTGGTTAGCCATTTGGGCAAGAAACTGCTCTTGCCTGGACTGCATAACTAGAACTAGGCATGCAGGACCCACAGAGAAATGACTGATGAACTTGACTAAAAGTGAGACGATTCTTTGGAGTTCCTGCTTCATGAAAGACTCTACTAGACATTATGCAGGATACAAAAGAAAGTGACTGGCAAACTGCCAATATAGGCAGAACTGTCTTTGAAATTTCATGATTCATGGAAAAATCTGCTGGATACTATGGGTCTGTAGGCTGAAGATGGATGCCCCAATGGTACAGACAAACTTTGGGTGACTGTCTAGGCAGCGATATGTCTTTGTCAATTCTAGAGTTTTGGAAGTTGCTTACAAAGCACTTCCTGTTAACTTAGGTAAGAATATATCCTTCTGGAGTCTTTGATGGAGTTGAAGAATTTATAGTTATAGATATAGTTTTCCTTAGTTATGATAAAAGATAAAGTAGATATAAATATTATAACTGTAATTCTTGTTTGATAACTGTTTTGTTATATGTAATTTTACTATGTTAAAGTTAAAGCCTTCCTTTTTGTTTAAACAGAAAAGGGGAAATGGTGTAGGAGGTCCTTCTGTCTATGTGTTGCTTTTATTGGTTAATGAATAAAGAACTTCTTTGAGCCTAAGGCAGGAAAGAACAGAACTAGGTGGGAAAAGCTAGGCTGTATGCTGGGAGAAAGAGGGTGGAGTCAGGGAGATGCCATGGAGCCGCCAGCAATAGACATGCTGAAACATTGTTGGTAGGCCATGACCTGACCTTGTGGTTATATACAGATTAATAGAAATGGGATAAATTTAGATGTAAGAGGTATCCAAGAAGAAATTAGAGCTAATGGGCCAAGCAGTGATTTAATTAATGCAGTTTCTGTGTAATTATTTTAGGTCTAAGCTAGCCGGGCAGCTGGGAACCAACAAGCAGCCTCCTCCAACACAGTCCAACCTATCAATTATGTAAAACGCAAGAAAAATTTTATGTCAATTCTATAAAGAGACATCACACCTGACCCCCAAGAGCTCACAGTCTTGTAAGTTAAGGACCACAGGATATATATATATAACCAGGATTCTGTGATCTGAGAGGAATTCACTCCAGATCATAGTCCTGGCTCTGCCACTCATAAACCATGTAACCTTGGCCAGTCCCTGAAACACTTGGTGCTTCAGCTTTCTCTTCTATAAAATGGGCATCATGGAGCCAGTGAGATGACTTAACAGGAAAGGGCCCCTGATGCTAAGCCTGATAGCCTGAGTTCAACCATATGATGGAAAGAGAGAACCAACTTCACCAAATTGTCCTCTGACTCCACACCTGCACTGTGGCATGCCTGCTCATGTTCACCATCCTACCCTCAGCACAAAATTAAAAATTAAATAGATAAATGTGATCTAAACATCTTAAAATGGTAATATCAAAATATTTATGAGACAGTGTTGTTACAAGGATCAAACAAAATGAAGTATGTGGCTGCTAAACAAAAGGTACCCTTAAATTTCCGTAGAAAAGGAGGCATGTTATATGGGTTCAGAAGATGTGTGGAGGTCGGCAGGCAAGGAACTAACATCTATTGAGTGATGAAAGGAATCACTTACCTAGGTTGTAGGTAGATAAACTTTCCCATATTGTTGAAAGACCTTATGTCTAAGAACTTTACATTAAATGTATACATGTGTCCCAGCTTTGACTATAGAAATGATACAGAGTTTAAAAGTGTTACTATCATTCCCATTTGGCAGAAGGGAAAGCAGAAGTCTAGAGAATTATAAGAACCGTATACCACATTCATCTCAAAGCCAGGACTAGCCCTCAGACTATCTAATTAGCAACAGTCACATCTTGAGGCCTTAGAGGTCAGTGGCTACTTGTGGGTTTTGTTGTTGTTTCTAAAACAGGGTCACGCTATGTAACCCTGGCTCTTCTGGAACTCGCAAAGATCTGCCTGCATGCCGGAATTAAAAGCATTTGCTACACATCCAGGTCAGTGTTTATAGAATAGTGACTTTGAAGCAACAGGGTCTTATTCCTTAGGGAAAGTGTTCTGTGCAGGAATAGAATGAGGGAGAGCTCAGGGGGTAAAAATAAAG